TGTTCAGGATCCCGCGGCCTGGGTTGTCTCACTCACATGCCGGGCCTGCGCTCTGGGTAGTTTAATTTTTAGAAATACTTCAAATCATATATTCTATGTTGACCTGGTAAATTATTATTACATTTATCTCAAATGTCATTAAATATCCTTGAAAACATTTTTTCATTGATACATTTGCCTTCTAGAGAATAGAGTATTTCTAGTTTTTCATAGTAACTACATCAAAATTATTTCTTTAATTTGTGTAATTCTAACTGTATACTTTGTCCTGTTGCTATTATGGTATGGATTATACTCCTGTTAATTGACTTGTGAAAATTCATCATGTTATAAAAAAAATGCTGTAGGAACAGGGAGATGGCTCAGTGGAATATAGGCTTCCCTGGCAAGCGCAAGGGTCTGAGTTCAATCCCCGGTTCCGCAAAAAAAAAAAAATGCTGTAGTTTTTTCTGTGTCAGGGAGTATATGTTTCACTTTAAAAAAATCTCCAAAAGATATCTTTAGACCTATAGCACTTTAATTTGATCAAGAATTTGAGAATAAACAATGGTGGGCCGGCATGATAGCTCAGGCTCTTCCCTAAGTGCCTGCTTAGGGAAGCACAGGGATGGGGGTTCGATCCCCACATGCTGCCCAAGCCCACCCCCGGGGCACACTGAGTTGGTCACTGAGACCCAGCTGGCGGTGCTCGCCTGTAATCCCAGCACTGGAGAGGCTGAAAACAGGAGGATCGCTATGAGTCCAAGCTGCTGTGTAGTGACACCCAGGGCCAAATACATTAAAAAAAAAAAAAAAGACTGAACAATGGCAATATTACAGACTCCTTTAGAGAATATAAAGTCAAAGTATCTCTAGTCTTATTTTATGATACCAGATTACCTTGATAATAACAATTGGTGTTATAAAAAGAAAACCTAAGGTGGTCCTAACTTATGAACACAGATATGAAAAATTGTAAAAACAATACAGAAAAAAGCAATATATAGGAGAAATATGATATGTCACAAACCACTTGATAATTCTAGGAGGTAAGGCTGATAGACAAATCAAAGGATATGATAATTTCAATAGATGAACAAAAAGTGTTGGAAAAAGTGAACCTATGTATTGTGGTTCTCTATTTCCATTTTTCTCAAATAATCACATCTGACTCATTAAAGTTGTTATATTTAAGTTCTGATGATTCCCATGTCTGGCTTCCTATTGGATGTGTTTCTGTGTTCTTTCTGTTGGTTTTTTAATGTTGACATCTTGCCAGAATTTTGAGAAGCAGCCTGATTTTGTGATAATATTGGCATTCTAGGACTATATGTCTTGGCTAATCCTAATTGGATTTTAGCAATTGAGGTTATTTAAATTACCTAAATGAACTTTACCTGTAATAGCTGTGCTCACTGCACATTAGGAGAGTCAAGCTTTTACTGCCTGTGTCCTCTTGTACCAGTTTAAAGCATGGTGGGACTTTCACCAGGGAGATCCCCTCCCAAACTGTTGGTTTTGGTACAAGACCTGCTTCTGGAAGTCTGTCAAAAGTATGACTTAATTGCTTTGCATCCTTCACTAGAATCAAAGACACCTTCCAGTGTAAAAGTGCAACTGGGGTATCTGGCTTTTCTTTGGGTTAGATTTTTTTTTTTTTCAAACTGGCAATGCTAGGGATGGAACCCAGGGTCTTGTGTTAACTCTGCAGTAACAACTTTTGCACCTTCGAGCAGAATTTACAAAAATATTCTCTTTGTTTTCTTTTTCTTTCTTTCTTTCCCTCCCTCCCTCCCTCTCTCCCTCCTTCCCTCCCTCCCCTCCCTCTCCTTCCTTCCTTCCTTCCTTCCTTCCTTCCTTCCTTCCTTCCTTCCTTCCTTCCTCCTTCTTTTGTGGCCGGCTCAGCCTGCCCTAGGGGACAGGATTGCACACTGTGTGGTGCCCGGGATCAAACCGCGGTCCCTGTGCTTGGCTAGGCTTGCCTAAGCTGGTGCTTTAGACCGCTAAACTGTCTCACAGGCCCTCTGGTGTTTTCAAAGAGTTTGATTTACCTAATCTCTCATTATAGGAAATATGTATTTTTCTAATTAGTTCTTAGCATTTTTATTATTTCAAGTAATATATTGTTTAAGATGTGACTTGGGCTTCATTGTTTAATCATGTTACTTGAAAGAGTAATTATTATTTTTTCTCCTGATGACAGCTTCTTCTGTGGCTACAGAGAAGTTATTTATCTACTTTGTTACATACGGGGATTAATTATTAATTTTTTGTCTCACCATACAACTGTGAGGATACATATATTAATTGTACATGCACTGATAGCTCCTTGGAGGGAGTAATCTTTTTTACATTTTCTCAGTTTCCAAATAACACTTAAAATTAATCTTTATACTTTATATTTTTCTCTCTGATGTTCATGGTAGTTGATTTGACTTTGTTTTCAAAAAGTACATAAATTGTCCATGGTAGCAGTAAAAGAAAGAGCTTAATGTTGAAATTATTCAAATGAGTTTAATTTGATATATTTATAAAATTTTGGTTTTTATTTTCTAGTTCCGTCGTAACTGTCTTAATGCATTTTAACCCTACTGTGGTCAATTGATTTAATAAAAATGCCCATGTTTTTTCTTGTTATCTGATAACTTCTTAATGACAACTAACAGTTTTGGGAGAGCAGCCACCCCATTAGCACTAATGGACAGTGGGGACAACTGCTGTGGCATAAAGAATGTGAAAGATGACTAGTGACCCTTTGACAAATTTGCTTTTATGAACAGAGTATGCCCTATGCTTATTTGATTTTTAGGTCATAATGGGTTTTTTCACAATTTTGTTATAGTCTAGCGTTTAACTGCTTTGTAGCTACAGTTTTGTTCTCAGATGCTCTTATAAACATCAATCAGGGAACTAATGAACTTGTAAATTTATATCCTTCAAATTGTGAGGAAACCCAGTGTAATTTATCATCTGCATCTGTCTGGTTATATTTCTCTATTCTTTGTATCGTTCCAATTTTAGTATATGTGCTGCCGAAGCGAGCACATATATTTCTCTATTCTTGATCTATACATGGCCATCATGTTTTGTATATATTTGAGGAAATTACCTGGTATGTACATGCCTAAAATCAAATGGGAAGACAAAGTGTGTGAGATAATTCAGATTTCTAAGTATGATATGTGAGAACTGTTAAATGACAGCATAGTATAGATTACTGCTGAACACTGGTGACTATAGATGTGTTTGGTTCTTTTATGGAAATAAATTCATCCTGAGACCACTGATCCTTATTAATGAAGAAAGCTTTCAGCACTCCCCCTGCTGCTTTTTTGCACCCCATTGTTCATTAGCTCTGAGTTATACTGACTTGCAGCTTACTATACAAGTTGCAGACTTTTGTCTCGCTTTTCACAAATCACTTGTGCCTCATATAGAACACGGGCTTCATTGGCATATTCATACATGCACGTCTGCTGACCTAAATTTTGAACTTAGTGTTTTGCTTCACTTGTAAGATGGATATAATATTCATAGTTTTTTTTTTCCCTAAGATGCCAAACCTCTTTGTAATGTGAACCTTTCACTATGAATTGTACTACTGTTTTCCCTTTTGCCCCTCTTTTCCCTTGTTTTCTTATATGAACTTTTACACTTACTCTGTGGTTTGACTCGGTACATTACTTTCCCCTTTTTATGTGCTCTACTTCTTTTAGTTTTATTCCTATTCATTGGTATAAGAGCATGAAATAATAGGCTCAGGGGCAAATGCAGAGGATGCACAGCCAGACTTTAAAACTAAAAGGCATTCCTTTGATAAAGGGATTGCTGCTTCTAAGTGGGAGCATCTCCATTAGCATTAATGGAGCACGCGTCGGCCGGCCGAGGCATCTCAGAGGTTAAGCAGCTTCCTGGCCGCCTCTTGACATCAATATGCCGTGGCGCCTCGTTCTCTTGGTCTTTCCAGGCTTCCTTGACAACACTGTCGCAGAGTTAGTGGAAGTCATTTCTTCTGAATTATTGAAACAAATGTTTGGCTGCTAATTGAGGAACACTAATGTGTTTTATAATCACTGCTGTTTGAGTTTTTAGCACTAAACAAAACAGTTACAATTGATTTGTGGGTTTTTTTTTCTTCTTCTCTGTCTGCTCGAAGTTTTATCTTTTCCTTGAATTTAGCAGATGGCTTTCTTGGTCATTTTAAGTATTTATTAGGATACATTATTCAGGTTCTAAGTTTTTCCCATGTCACCCCCCCTTCCCTAAGATATCTATGTTGTGTGTTCAGGAATGTGAGGCCACCACATAGATTAGAAGGATGGACCATTGGGCCAGATAGGATAAAATAGTGGTTAAAAATCAGTTTCTGGAAGTAGTCCTGGTTTGAATACTGGCAATCATTGCCTAGGTACTTATGGTGCCATTTTACTTAAATTCCCTGATTTCTATTATTATTATTATTATTATTATTTTTTTTTTTTTTTATAAAGTTGAAGAAATCTGTAGAGGTAGCTGTGGTAAAATCCTTCAGCAAAATATTTGCAACATAACTACAGTAAAGTAATGCACATATTATTATTATCTTATTGGAAAACTATTTTCCTTTTTTAATTCTCATATAATTTTTGTTTAAAATTCACTTTTGCTGCCATAAACATTTTTGTGTACCTTTTATACATTATTTGAAATACTGTTTAAAATAATTTACATTTAAAAATTTAGATATGGCATGTATGCCAGAGTGCAGGAGAGGATATTTTCTCTGTAATTATTTGAGAAGTCACCTTATTTAAGATTGATACAAAATATTTTAATTTTCTTTGAACATGAGAATTGAAAATGTGCATATATTATTTAATGCTCAGTTTTTAATATGCTTTTGTTGTCTAGCTGCCTATTCTAGATCAAACGACTAAACCTTTCAGTTTTTTAAACTTCCTTTCTAATGAAAAGTAATCCTGTTCCTTTAAAAATATTTTTATTAACAATATAAGAATAATGAAACAATTTATTTGTAAGAAAAATGCGTCAGTTTTACCTGTTTGCTTTGAAGAAATACAATTAAAATAAAATTATGAAAGATCCTAATTTACTTTTAATTGAAATAATATTGATTAATTACATTTAATTGTTTATTACTAGCAAATAGAAAAGTACTCTTAGCTAATTTTATATATGATGCTTTATTCTTTTAGTAACTAGAATCTTGGCTAGAGACTATAGTTTCCCAAATCTTGGTTTATAATATTACAGAGTAGTGTATTATATATTTGTTTTGGAAGCATGGGCTTTTTCCACAAAGATAGTATACCACTATCTCCATCCTTTTCATGCTAAAAAAGATACAAAATTACTTGTGTAGCATTTTAGACGAAATATTAGAATATCACGTAACTTCTACTTATGTCATGTACTTAACATTAAAGGGAAAGAATAAAATAAATACTTTATATAAAATGTAATTGCTCCTTTTTGTGAAATAGAGATCTTTACTTATAATTAGGATCACTTAATTATGGCTTTATTGCCAACATGCATTGTAGCTTCATTGGTACCATTCCTTTAAATAATACTGATTTTCTAATTAAAAGTCAAGATTATGTTAAAAGTTAGGCTGAATATTTATGACTGTTAACTGCTGTACAAAGATTATAAAATAATGAGTTTAATGTAGGATAATTAATAAAATGTATGTATCTCTTTATACTCCGTATGTTGATATATGGTCATACGTTTCATCTTTCATTGTACAGACATTGAAAAGTGGCCTGACGATGGTTGGGAAAGTGGTGACTCAGCTGACAGGCACGGTGCCCTCAGGTGTGACGGAAGATGATGTTACTGTCCATAGTAACTCTCGGCGGAGTCCTTTGGTCCCAGGCATCATTACGGTTATTGACACCGAAACAGTTGGATTGGGCCAGGTGAGACTTTGGTGTATGTAACTTGTGTTACCTGCAGGGACTGACTGAGATCAAGATCTGCCAAAAAGGATGTGGTTTAGGATAGTGGTGGCGAAGCTATGGAACACCAGCTGCAGGGGTCTGTTAGCATCATTGAAAGTTCTGGAAAGTTCTCCATCAGTGGTTTAGGAGATTAATAATTTGAAATTACAGAAGTTGATACTATTTCAGGTCTGATTTTTTTCAAGAAATGATTAATAGCTTTTCTGCTGGTGGACACCGCGGAGGAAGCATCATCAGCCTCTCTTCCAACTGCCGTCATGTCTAAGTCAGAGTCTCCCAAGGAGCCCGAACAACTACGGAAGCTCTTCATCGGAGGGCTGAGCTTTGAAACAACTGATGAGAGTCTGAGGAGCC